ATAAATAAATTTTAATTCTTATAACTAGCTTGTTTTTCTTTTTTTTTTTAAAAAATTATGTTACCCAATAATTTATTAGATAGCGATATCCATTCTGGCCCAATGCTAGTTGCCTAGTTGAGAATACGGATATCTTATTTGCCAGGTGTGGTGTGGACCCTGTTGTCCCGTAACCGGATCCGATGATGTTTCGAATCGTACGATTCGTATCAAGTTATCACTGACACCACGTGTCCCTCTGGTCCACAACACATCTACTAGTGGTGTATTAATTCGATTGAAAAAAATCTAATTTTTATTAAATAAAAATTTAAAATTATAAATAAAAAAAAAATATAATATAATTCGATTTTAAGTTATTTAAAATCCAATATTGGTTATTGGATAACAAAGAGATTAATAATAATAAGAAAAAAACAACACATCCTGTAAACTATTATATCTTCGGGCTTTTTTCCGGCCCAATATTTCTTTCTTTATTTAATTGGGCTTGTCTAGTACTCTGTCTCTCTCTACACAAGCCAGTCTGGCCCATTTAATCTTCAACCCGCGAAACCTCAACGGTCGGATCTGTCCCAAAACCCATTTTTCTCCTTCGTCGCTTCCTTTTCGCTGCTTTCCACCCTCTGAAACTGTTATGCCCACTCACACTGCGAGAAAAATGATTCAGAGCCAAAGAAGCAATCTTGAACATCGGGAATCTTCGCATGGATTCTTGGTATAATTTAAGTAGAGAAGGGTAATAATGGGTGTGGGAGGCAAATTTTGGGAACTTCTAAAACCCTACGGGCGCCATGAAGGGTTTGATTACCTGAGGGATAAGCGGGTTGCTGTGGATCTCTCATTCCGTATAGTCCAGCACGAAACTGCCATCAAGGCCTATTGCCGCAATCCCCATCTCAGGCTTACATTCTTCCGTACCATCAACCTCTTCTCCAAGGTATTCCATTTGCCTTTTTTAGCTTCCTTTATTTTTAGTAACAAGATGGAATTGCTTTTGGTTGCTTTACTGGGTTCTGGTTTTTAGGGGAAGAAATACTAGGATTTATAGAATAGACTCGTTTAATTAAGTGAATATGGTGTTGGGTTTTTAGTCTAGCGGAAGTTTTTATTTAATTAATCAACTTACCGCCAATGCCATTGTCTTTGTTTGTTCCTTCCGTCAGTATGAAATGAAATTTTCTTTTCTGAGTGAAAGAAATTGGCTTTACTGTATCTTACTTTATTTCTGTTGTGGCAATAAAATGGAAAATTATTGTCTTTATTGTATGAATGAGAATGAGAATAATTTTCTTGAAATGTTTTTTTGCAGTTTGGAGCCTTTCCAGTATTTGTTGTTGATGGAACTCCGTCACCGCTGAAATCTCAGGCAAGGATCATGCGGTTTTTCTGTTCATCTGGAATTGATTCTTCGTGTTTTCTGCCCCCCCAGAAGGATGTCTTAGTTGAGAGGAACCGGGAATTCACTAAATGTGTTAATGATTGTGTGCTAAGTTGATCCTGACACCATGATCTCTATCAATTTTTGTTGGTGCAGTTCAAATTCTAATTTTTTTTTCCCCTTGTATATGCTTGCTTTTGTGATAGATTAACCTGGTTACTTCTTTGGATGTATGGTTTTAGCAAATACTCTCTGTAGAGCTTGCACAAAAATTGGTTGCAATCAGTTTGTCATGCTTTGACCTTTTTCTGTGCACTCTTGCTTGGTCATTAGTTCATGGGAGAGATCTTGTTTAATCACCTTTAACTACTAGGTGTGAATTGCATGTAGACTTTGTATTTAAAGCATGTATGATAGTTGTATTGCAAATATATGTTATTAGAAAGCTTATTTTGTTGTAGGAACTCCTTGAACTATTTGGGATGCCTGTACTGAAAGCAAATGGTGAGGCTGAAGCATTGTGTGCGCAGTTGAATAGAGATGGTCATGTGGATGCCTGCATCACTGCTGATAGCGACACATTTCTCTTTGGGACTAAATGTGTAATAAAATGCATCAGGCCCAACTCAAAAGTAAGTTGTACTGGCTTTTTATCGTGACTTAATGACCCTTATTTCCTTTTTATTTGTCTATCATGTTATTATCTATCCTGATAATGTGGGAAATTGTTCTGCATTTGTTTGTGTTTGTGTGTGTTGATATCAGTACGCTTTGTGGGAATTTATTTCTGTCTTGTAAGCCCTTTAAATTGTGAATATTCTGTTAGTGCATCCCCTCTTACAAATGATGGTTTTGCAGTTTATTACATTAGTCAGCTAGAAACTATTGATAAGTTTGTGCGTATGGGATGACATGTTTCTCAAAATCCTTTGAATGCGGATTAATTAATGGAGGACTAAATTGGAATAGATGAGTTGGGGAATAGAAAATGTTTGAAAAATATGCAATTCAGTGGGAAATAGTTGTTTTACCTTAAGATTTTGTTGCTAGTTCCTAAGAATCTTGTGAAATTTCTTTATGTGTGTACGTAAAGGTGTTAAACCTTTGCCAAATATGGGAATCTCATTTTATGCAGGGACCATTTGAGTGCTACCGTATGTCAGATATTGAAGCTGGTCTTGGACTCAAGAGGAAACACTTGATAGCCATCTCTCTTCTGGTTGGAAATGACCATGATCTAAATGGAGTTCAAGGAATTGGCCTTGAAACAGCTCTTCGTTTTGTCAAAAGATTTAACAAAGATGAGATATTGAATAAGTACACTCTTAGCTCAATTTTTGAATCTTATGTTTATTTTCTGTAGCTGCAAAGAGGATTCAATGATTTTATCTCATCTTGCTGGGACAATGTTTCTTGTAGATTACACAATATAGGAAACGGGGATAATCCACTTTTTCAGTGTGGAATCAAATCCAAGGATGGTATCCCAACTATTTCAGATGAGAGCTCACCAAAGAAAAAGTGTTCTCATTGTTCCTTCTGTGGGCATCCTGGCAGCAAGAGAGCTCATTTCAGGTCTTCTTGTGAATACTGTGGAACAACTAGCAATGAGAGTTGTATTAAAAAGTTGGAGGGGTTTAAATGCAATTGCCCTCCTTGTCTTGAGGTATAGTTTTCTTGGCTACCCCCCCAAGCCCGGCTCTTATTCTTATTTTCTTATTCTTATTTTTACTACCATGCGGTATTTTTATGTTTTTTTAACTGATGTTCTAGGTATTCTACCTCATTTACACTATATGCTTCAATTTAAGTGGTTGCTTTTTCTTTTCCTTCTTTTTTTTTTTTTAAAAAAAAACATTTTTTGGAAAATGTGATTTTTTCCCTTCCCTTGTTAAAACTTAAAAGCACTTCATTATATTTCAACATCAGGATAGGGAAGAAAAAGAGCAGAAGAAGCAAGAGGATTGGTGGATTAGAATTTGTGAGAAGATAACTGTGGAGAAAAATTTCCCAAACGATGAGATCATTGGAATGTATCTGTGTGACAATCATGGAAAGTTTGCTGGTATGCTCCTACTTATGCTGGTCAGTTATTTGTTTCTGTTTCAATTGTTAGAGTCCTAAAACTTGTGGAAAATTTTGATTATATCATGAATGTGTGGTTCTCTTTCTTTCATGTTGCCTACATCTTAGCAATTCCATTTGTTAACATCAATTTTAACATAATTAAATTAAAAATGAATTGAAGTTCTATAAAAATGGCAAAAAAAAAAAAGAGAAAGAAGAGAAACAATGCTTTTTTAAAGAAAATATTCTTTTTATTTTTAATGGAAAGTCAGAAAATATCTAAAGATTGAACCATACACACAAAAATAAATATTGAAGGTGACAAAAAAAAAAATTACCCTTTTCAGGGGCAGGTTACGTAAATTAGATGTCAATATATTGAGAAATTGCAGTACAGCGGAATCAAAAAGAATGAAGGATGCAGCATTAGTTCCATCAGCAACTCAGACTCGAATGCAATACCTTTGTAACAAAAAATATGTCTTATTGCTCAGCCCAAAATGGTTTCAGTGTAAGGAATTTCATGGAAAAGGATGGTGTTGGGTGGTAATGTAGAAAAAGCTTTGTTTTTTAAGAGGGAAGATAGATGCAAACTTGTAAG